TGGTATGTGCATCCTCAGCTTTACTGTGTTTTGTTTTGCCAAATTGTTCTTTTTTTTTTTCTTTGAGACAGAGTCTCAAGCTGTTGCCCTGGGTAGAGTGCTGTGGTATCATAGCTCGTAGCAACCTCCAACTCTTGGGCTTAAGCAATTCTCTTGCCTCAGCCTCCCAAGTAGCTGGGATTACAGGCACCTGCCACAACGCCCGGCTATTTTTTGGTTGTAGTTATCATTGTTGTTTGGTGGGCCTGGGCTGGATTTGAACCCGCCAGCTCCAGTGTATGTGCTGGCATCTTAGTTGCTTGAGCTATAGGCGCCGAGCCTGCCAAATCATTCTTCAAAGTGATAATGCTGGTTTACTCTTTTACCATCATGGTAAGAGTTCCCCAATCTTGGGTGATGTCACTGCTTATCATTTTCCCCAGTTCTTTTTTTTTTTCTTTGTTTTTGAGACAGAGTCCAACTCTATCTTTCTCGGTAGAGTGCTGTGGCATCACAGCTCACAGCAACCTCAAACTCCTGGGCTTAAGCAATTCTCCTGCCTCAGCCTCCCGAGAAGCTGGGACTACAGGTGCCCACGGCAATGCCCAGCTATTTTTTGTTGCAGTTATCACTGCTGTTTTAGCTGGCCAGGGCTGGGTTTGAACTCGCCACCCTCAGTATATGATGCTGGCACCCTACCCACTGAGTCACAGGTGCTGCCCCTCCAGCTCTATTGATATGAAACAGTGTTTCTTAAAAACAAACAGAAGACTTGTATTATAGGATATTTCAAACATAGAAAAGTAGGTTGTTAAGTGCAGTGAACTCCTGTGTGTCCCATCACCTTGCTTTAATGATTATCAACCCACAGGCAATCTTGTTTCATCTATACCCTCACTCTCTCTCCCCTCCCTGTTATATATGTAACTACTCATTATGCATCTCCAGCATGTAGTTCTTTTAAACATAACCTCAGTAACATTATTCCACAAAAAAATATACCAATAATCTGTTAACATTATTGAATATCAGTCAAGGTTTCAGTTTCTCTGATTATCTTATAATATTTTTTCATTTGTCCATATCAGTGTCCAAATAAGGTCCCATTCATTGTAATGGCCTCAGTCTATAGGTTCCCTGTGCTCTCCTGTATGACATCTATCTTTGTAATGTTAGCAAGCAGTAATAATTGTTGCCTAAAAGAGCCAGTAATTTTTTAGGAGTTGCAAAACGGTGATAGTCTGTCATTCTTTTTTGTTTATTAGCATAATACTTCTACAAAGAGACATTTCTTCTCCTCAAGTAGTTGGTCATGTTGATAATGCTATTAGTATAGAAAGACAGGGTACATTTTCCTTCCTCTCATTCATTAGCTTTAAAACAATTACTGTATTTAATCCTTCGGTATCTTCCAAAGGTGGCTATTGAATGAGTTTGCTGTAGTTATCTTGATGAATGCATAGATTTACGCGTTTGATGTGTTCCAGTTTATTGCAGTTCTTATACTTATTATTGATGACCAAATTGATCAACTTTGGCTGCTGGGAACCTCTTCAAAGTTAACTCTTGAGTTCTTTTCACATAATCCTACAAGTTTTGACAATTTTCTTGCTTTCTGGTACACTTCTTGCTCATCTGGTATACTTCCTATCCCAGACCTGTAATTAGCAGTTTCTCTAAGGAGTCCTAGTCACATGGCCACCTGTTGCCTAGCACATATCAAAATTCCATACTTCTAGAAGGAAAGCAGATGTGCAGCATTAACTGTATTGTTTACATAAACACTTTAGGCTCTTCTCAGGGAATGGTTGGAATCCTTCTGAAATCTAAATTCACAGATTCCAGCCCAAGGGCCTACCAAACAATGACAACTACAACCAAAAAAACCTCTCCATCTATTGTAGCATTTTTCTGCTTCCCTCATTGCAAAATTTCCTTGAAAAAATTGCCTACACTCCCTCCACTCCTGTTCTCTCATAAATCTGCTCCATAAAGCTTTTGTCCAAACCACTCCACAGAAACAGCTTATTTCAAAGTCCTGAAGGACCTCCCTTACAAGCAGGACTTTTTAAGGATATTAGTTTCAAGCCTGATCTGTTAACTCCCTTCTGCATGGATGCCTACTAGACATCTTGTGGATATGAGGAGTACATAGGAGGCTAAGGAGTTAGGAGTTCAGATGAGAGGTTGTGATGGAAATAGACATATATAATATGGTAGTCTTTGGTAAAGAGAGATATTCAGAGCCCCAAGACTGAAATTGAGTACAGGGAGAGAGCCAAGTACTAGGCCCTTCAGCAAGAAGTTGAGGAACTGAGATGCTGCCATGAGAGATTGAGAAGGAACAACTGGCGAGGTAGTTTGAATAGGACCAGAATCAAGAGGATATAATATCCCTAAAGCCAAATGAAAAGAGTGTTTCAAGAAGGAATTCACAGTGTCAAATGTTCTTGATGGGCCAACTAAGCAGAAAATGTAGTTAACTGATGGCATCTAGGGACTTTGAAATAAGCTGTTTCTGTGGAGTGGTTTGTACAAAAGCTTTATGGAGTGGATTTATGAGAGAACAGGAGTGGAGGGAGTGTAGACAATTTTTTCAAAGAATTTTGCAATGAGGGAAGCAGGAAAATGGCGCAATGGACGGAGAGGTGTAGGAGACGAATAATAGCATGGGTAAAATTGTAGTGTGGTTGTATTTTGACGGAGATGTTCCACTACAGAGAGAAACCCATGATGTGGGAGAGGAGAGGCTGTGAATAGGGAGGCAGGAATGAGATCTGATTCACAAGTGAGAAAATGATGGCCTTGTATAGAAGCACGGGCAGTTCATCCATAGTAAAAGGAAGGAAGGCAGCGTATATGGCTCCTTCTGTGGCACCTTAGAGGTGTGTTGCTAGATGTGTTGTTGAGAGCTTATAAATGGAAATAGACAGTGGGGTCACCGTCTATGCTGAGGATAGGGGAGTACAAGCTGGAGATTTAAAGAGTGAGAAGGCATGAAAGAGTTTTCTTAGAAAGTGAATGGAAAGAGTGATAGGGATAGGATTGCTTGGTTCTACCTTGAGGTTAATGGTAATGAATTTAAAGTGAGAATAGCTTTTAGATGTTGATTGTGTGTTTTTGTCCTCTGGTTACTTCCAGCTTGGGATACAGGTGCAGGATAGATGATTATTCAACCAGTGTTTGAAGTTACCTGGATATTATGTTGTAGGGCAGAGCTGTAGATTAGGGAGTGACCATAGAACCAATGCTGGTTAAGGAGGGAAATGAATGAGGCCATTAAACTGTGGTGTGATCAGTGCATTCATTGTAGGTCCTATGTGTCAAAAGGTTGTTGGAGCTGTGGATCTAAAACAAATTAGTTGGAAGGTAGGAGAAATATTGAAATGTGCAGTTGATAATGGTTTGATAATGGTATGATAATGGGAATGGAAGACTGAGGTAAGGTGGAAAATAAAATCCATGGAGGAGAGGAGGTCAAGGAAGCAAGTATAGGAATGATCATTGATAATAAAATCACAGCTTATCATCAAATAGAGATAAACATAAATCTTCAAGGGATGGTAAGAGTGGCTGGGGATCATAGCTGGCATTCTTGCTTATTCCTTCTTTTCCATGTAGACTTTTCATGATTTGATACCGTCTTACCGTTTTGCACAGGACCCTGTGTAACCAAAAGTCCTTAATTATACCATGCTCTCCCAGGCTCTGCCCTTTCACAGGCTCTGTTTCTTGTGTTTGAAATGCTCTGAGCCCCAGTACTTCTCTTTGATAGTAACAGTCTTCCCTAGTAGATCATTGTTGGTTCCTATTCATAGCTTGTGCTGTTGATTACACTATTTTGAAACTATTAGTTTATATTCACCATTTTTTTCTCCTTTTTTTTTTTTTTTAAACTAGATGAATAGTTCCCTTAGGCCAAGAACCTTATCTGTCTGTTTGCCCCTGTAAAAAAAAGTTTTTAGTGAATTCTAGGGATAGCTCTATTTGCTAAATGCTTATTGAAAATTAGTTATTGTTAGTAAATAATAGTATGATTCTTTATGTTTTATCCTAGTATGATGCTTACTTAGATTTGCTTATATTAAGCACCACAAATGATGAATAAAGTTTCTCTTTTATACATAAAGAATTACTATTATTAGTCTGTATTTTGGAAAAGATTAAAAATATAGAAGCAGTTATTGATTATGCAGATTGGAGTGAAGATGGTAATACATTGTCATTTGTACATTTTGAAGAGAGCCTCAGTTTGTTATTTTCTCTGTTTTTTTGGTTTGGTCTTGGGAATGAAGTTTGTAGTTAGAGAAAAGAGGCCTTGATTTAATGAGATAATCTGTGGTGTAGGACAAATGGGTAATTTAAAGGTGACTATAGTATAATTAGAGAAATGCTTCCTTTTCCCTTATTTATTAACTTGTTATTTATATGGGGCAAATTTTTACAGTGTTAGAAATGAACATATTAAGAATTTATTTACAGCTTGGTGCCCCTAGCACAGTGGTTACAGTGCCAGCCACGTACACTGAAGTTGGCAGGTTTGAGCCCAACTTGGGCCAGCTAAAACAATGACAACTGCAACAAAATATAGCTGGGTATTGTGGCGGGCACCTGTAGTCCTAGCTACTTGGGAGGCTGAGGCAAGAGAATTGCTTAAGCCCAAGAGTTTAAGGCTGTGAGCTGACATCATGGCATTCTACTGAGGGCAACATAATGGGATTCTGTCTCAAAAAAAAAAAAAAATGTATTTACTTGTATGATGCTAGTATACTTTATTTCCCTTAAAGAGCGTCTTCAAGTGAAAATTTTTTGTGAATGTTTTGGTTTCTCCTTAACAATTTCTTGTGCATTTGTGAATTTTAATAATTAAATGGAATAACAAAATAAATCACCTATATTAATTATGTTTTGATTTATAGTTTATATTATATTTTCTTTTGGTATATTTTTAAATTAATATCAATATATAGAAATCTGACAAAATATTAATTTTGGATTTTTTATTTTAATCAGAAATCATGAATGGAGGATCTCAAGTTCACATTTTTTGGGGTGCTCCAGTTAGTCCTCTGAAAATGACAGTATCACAGGACACAACTTCTGTAATGGCCACTGCTGGCCCCTGGAAAGAAATTCAGCTTTTGTACAGTCACCATTCTTTACATCTGAAGGATGAAAAACATGAGCACAAAAATCTTGAAAACTATCAAGTCCCAGATACTGGCCCTCCAGATGTTCTTAGTGGCCATTTGTTAGCGAACTCTCCGAATAGATCTGTTCATGTGAAAGATGATGTTATACATCCTGTTTCTAATACAGAAAATATAAAATCCCAGAAGATTCACCCTTTAGGACTGAGTGATACAACTAATTCTAGTGTGCATACATGTGGATTTAAAGTCAGAGTTCAGCATTTTACCAAAGAAGAAAAGCATCAGAAGTTTCTCAGTGAAAATAAGAAAGTCACAGATAAACAACCTAAAGAGCTGGCAAATTTACCTGGTCAGAATTTTCAAACAGATTCCTCTCAATTAGATCACAAGTGTGCCGCTATATTGGATTTGGTTTGCAGTACTGAACAAATTAACATAGGGCCTGAAACAGTACAAACAAAATGTGTGAAAACAGAACATCATGAAATACAAAACCAGCATCCTGAATTCTTTTCCTGTAACACTGTAGATAAGCCAAGCTCTGAAGGAGCAATTAGGCATATCTCAAACCTTAACATATCTGCTGATACTGAATTTCTCAGTATAATGACTTCTAGCCAGTTGGCTTTTTTAGCTCAAAGGAAGGATAAAGGGCAGAATTCTATAAATAAAGGGAGCGTCAGCAGGGTGGTTGAACCAAAGGCATGTCATGGGGAAAGTGAAATAACTGAAGATAATTTGATTCAGCCTAGTGATGCAGGAAGATATGAAAATGGACAAACCCAAGCTTATTCCCTTGAACTTTTTAGTCCTGTTTGTTCTGAAACAAAAACTAGCCATATTCACATAAACTCTAATAAAGGTCTTAAAGAAAATATAGGCTCTCAAGAACTTTTCAGTTCTGAAGATGAACTGCCACCAAATGAGATATGTATTGAGTTGTATAGCTCAGGAATTTTATGTTCCCAACTAAGTACCTTCCACAAAAGTGCTGCTAAAAGAAGTCAGACCTCTGGAGATAAATTGGGTGATTCTAAAGCTCTATCTGAAGTCCTCCAAGTGTCTAAGAAAATAAAGTTGATTTCTGATGCAAGAGATTCTGCTGTAGCCATGGACCAAAGGAATGTGTCTGGATATAAGAATATTAAAAAAACATCATTAATAGAAAATTGCAATTCCAAAAGTCAGAAGTATAATTGTTTAGCCATGGTGCTATCTCCATGTCATGTGAAAGAAATAAACATCAAATCTGGACCACAATGTGGCTCTAAAGTACCGTTAGCAACAATTACAGTAATTGATCAATCAGAAGTTAAGAAGAAGGTTTTTCTGTGGAGGGCTGCAGCATTTTGGGCACTTACAGTGTTTCTTGGAGATATAATTTTACTCACAGGTAAGGTCATCTTGGTATAGTGGTAGCTTATTTTATGAAGCTGTGTTTAGTTTTTGTTTTGTTTTCCTTCCACTTTATGTCTTTGAGGACTCTCTACCATTTGCCTCTCCTGAGGCCAGCATAACTGATCCCTTCATAGCATCTGCACTGGTCTCCTTTCATTGCCCACTTTTCTGTGCTCTGCTCCTTCTGGGCCTCTGTCCTGTCTTTCTTAGTTCTGCTGCTCTTTTCTGCTCATTTTCTCCTTTAAGAAGCCTTTCCTGGGCACGGTGGCTCACGCCTATAATCCTAGCACTCTGGGAGGCCAAGGCGGGTGGACTGCCTATGCTCATAGGTTGGAGACCAGCCTGAACCAGAGCAAAGCCTCTAAAAATAGCCGGGCTTTGTGGTGGGCACCTGTAGTCCCAGCTACTTGGGAAGCTGAGGCAAGAGGATTGCTTAAGCCCAAGAGTTAGAGGTTGTTGTGAGCTGTGACACCACAGCACTGTACTGAGGACGACAAAGTGAGACTCTCAAAAAACAAACAAAGAAGCCTTTCCTGATTGCTTCTCCTATTCATTCATCATGTAAATGTTCAGGTCATATCATTAGGCTCCTTTTTATTTTCTTACGGTTTTGTCTATATGTGTCTTATTTTTAACCCTTTCCTTTAAATTATATTAGCAGTCTCATGATGGTAGAACGGCATTTATGCTTCTTTCCCCAACCCCCAATAATGCTATGTACATTACATTCTTACTAAGGGAACAGATAGAGATTTCTGTTGATATTAGCCACAGTTGGAAATATGGTAAGGAAAAACTGGTATTATACCAATTTCATATAACCACTCGTAAAATTTTAGAGTATTGATTTCCAGTTTTTTTTTTTCTGTGCTCTTTTTTTTTTTTTTTTTTGGGCAGTTTTTGGCCGGGGCTGGGTTTGAACCCACCACCTGTGGCATATGGGGCTGGTGCCCTACTCCATTGAGCCACA